TTCACAACAGATGTCTAGTTTGTTTAAAATATTCAACAGCCTAATGATTAATCGAGCAATTGCACCTACAAAAATATATCATTTTATGCTATGAGTATTAAAACTGGTATTATCTGCTAGGAAAAAAAAAAAAAAAAAAGGCAACTTTTGGGCTCATTAAGAGCCCTAAAAAACATCTGGGCTTTGTAAAACAGGCTTTTGTTGTGTGTGGTTTCCCCCATTCCCCCCCTTCCCAGCAAGGTGGGGAGCAGCTTCCCTGCAGCATCCTGGATTCCTGTCATCCTGCTTTGTCAGGCCAATATCTTGTTTCTTAAGAAATCCTCCTCCTCAAGGAGCAAGTGTCTGCTGTCACCTTCAAAAAGTCCCTTTTGCAGCATTTCTGCCCAGAAGTGACTCCAGGCACCAAGAGGAGGCAGAGCCCAAGGGCTGGGACACATTTGCAGCTCAAGGACTGGGCTGATGGGAACCTCCCGAGGCCACCTGGCTCAGGGCAACCCCAGCATCACTCCAGGCTGGGGATGAAGCACAGGGAGCAGCCCCACCAAGGAGGATTCAGAGCCCCAAGATCTGAAGAGGGTCTACAGGAAAGATGAGGAGGGCTCTTTATTATGAATTGTACTGTTTGGACAAGGGATGATGGCTTTAAACTAAAAGGGAGCAGATTCAGATTAGCTGTAGGGAAGAAAACTTTTATAAAGAGTGTGATAAAATACCAGCATGGTAAAGCCTCAAAGGTGATGGATGCCTCATCTGTGGGAACATTCAAGGTCAGGTTGGATGGGGCTTTGAGCAGCCTGACCGAGCTCAAGGTGTCCTTGTCCATGGCAGGGGGTTGGACTAGATGACTTTTAAAGGTCCCTTCCCACCCAAACCATTCCATGATTTGGCTCGCAGAGGCACAACCTTACCACGATGCCATTTTTTAAGACACCGTGTCCTCAACGAGGCTCTCACAGTTTGTGCCCTGGAGATTTGCCCTTTTGGACTGAGCTGGGGCTAAGAAAGGCTGCAAAAACCCCAAAAAGTGAACAACCAGAAGAGCTGGAGAGCCTGAAATCTGCAATGTCTAGTTGCTGTGAGGACACTCATGACTGATTTAATAGCGTGAGACTCAAAGTGAACTGGTTTATTTTAAGCTCACTGAGACCAAGTTTGCCTGGCTAATGCATCCTGACTTTTAGATTGAAGACTTAAATATCTCGAGACTTTGGACAGATTCTTTGGAGGACACACTGCTTGGAGGAGGAAACCAGATTCAAAAATAATACCTGGAATTGTTTCAACAGTGCTATATCTGATCTTACCAGGACCAAGGGAGCAGCCAAAATGTGGCCATCTGTTTCCGCTCCCCCCTGCCCTCCTGGCTGACTCCAAACCACCCCCCCCCCAGCAGAAAAGGCATCCAGCATCCCACAGAGGAAGGACAATTCAATAAACCTAACCCCAAAAAGGAACACTTCATTTTAGCAGAGGAAGCTGTAGTGATGTGACTCACCCGGTGGCTTTTGAGGCTCTCCCCCACCTTGCCACTTGGAGGTTATTTTTGTGCTTGCCCTGTTACAACCATGCACCTCTTGAGCCCTTTACCTCCCTCCCAGAGCATCAGGGTGGTTAAAGAGATCTTTGGGGGTGCTGCCTGCTGAGCTGGTTGGGATACACAGGAGCCAGCAGGATTGTGCACCTCCATGCCCTGGGATGAGCATGTGGCAGACAGGAAGGGTTTTCACTCCTTTTCTCCCCCCTCCTGACCCTGCCAGGGACGTGCCTGGCCAGCCCTGCTCCTCCAGACGGGACATGGGGAGGGGGATCATGCTTGATCAGACTTCCCTCACTGCTCCAGGGAAATCTGTCCCGCCTCCCATCCTGCCCAGCCTTTTGTCTGGGTAATGTTTCCTTCCTGTGGTTTCATCACAGAGCCCTTTGTTTGTTTAATCAGCATTGATAGGAGCATCATCCACAGCCCTGGAGGTGGCCACTGTGGCCATGCTGGGGACGGCTCAAGTGGCAAATACTCAGTGAGACTGATCTCACACCAGCTCAAGGGCTGTGCCTGCTGCACACAGGGGAAGGAAAGCTCATGGCAAGAGCTCTGAGACACAGGCTCTGCTCAGACAGAGCCACTGAGCAGCAGGGCAGGCTTGTCAGAGACTTTCCTGCTGCCATCCCAAGCCAATTCTCCACCTGCTGCACCCTCCTTCAGACAAGTGGCAAGAATGGACCTCTGGGATGGTCTTTTCAGGACTGTCATATTAAGCCATCTGTATGGCCACATTGACAGGAGGACCATACTGCAACACAATATGTTGCCTCAGCACAGGAAGCACACTCAGAGCCCCCAGCACTTCAGCTGAGGGGGATTTCTCTGCCTTTTCCCTCAGCCACCACTGCAAAGCTGTGCTGAGAGGCAGCTCCATCCCCCAGCAGGAAGCTGTGTCTCATTAGCAGAGGTAAACAATTCCTCTGAACGTGACGAGTCAGGAGAGCATATTAAATATGTCAATATCTCAGGGTTTTTTAATCCCTACTCCAGAACAGCTTGTTGTGGCAGGAGAGGGCCCCCCAGCGTGGCTCAGAGCCCCAGCACAGCCCAGCTGGCATCTCCCCCTCTTTGAGGGGGTTGTGGGGTGCCCTCACCCCTCAACCTCACCCACCAAGCAAGCCTGAGCTCTCCACTGATTTCCCTTCTTCAGTTATCACAGCTACAAACAAACAAAAACAAAGAAATAATCCAGCTATTTGATTTTAGAACACCAACTCGAGCATCCTTTTGTGACTAACCTCCCTGCTGCAGGGTGGGCTCAGCAACTCCAGCCCCAGCACACACAGAGGTGACAAAAGCCACACATGGCCCAGGCTGAGGCTGTGACAGAGGAATAAAAACCAGCATGGCATTTGCAGGGGTGTGTCAGAGCAAGACTGGGTTGAAAACAGTTTGAGTTTTGACCTGTTTTATGCCGTGCTGCTTTCCCTGGCAGCCTGGTGCACACCAACACAAACACAACGTGTGCTGTATTTCCAGGAGTCCCCTCGTCCCCAGGGCTGCCTCCCCTGCACAGGAGCCTGCTCTCACCTGCAGATCAGCCACTCACTGCTTTGTTTTCCCCGTGCTGACAGAGCAGCCTCCTGCTTCATTGGCACTGTGCTGCTCACACGCTGCTCCAGACACGGAATTATTGGTGTCCTCAGGAGTTTTTCAGGGCTCCTAGGTGCTGTGGCCTCCACTGACTTTGCAAACAGTTGCTTGCCTTCAGTGCACATCTCTGAGCTCTGAGGAGGCACCCAAGGCCCATTTTACAGACATGGAGTAGAGAAGCTCTAAGTACGTTCCAAGATTTTAGGTTGCCTGGCTGGAGGTGGCAAAGCCCAGATTTTCCAAAGCACGTTGTGTTGCTCAGAAGTTTCCATGCTCAAAGCACAGCCCCATTATTCAGCTGAGAGCACCCTCCTGCACCAGCCAGATCCCCACCTCTGCTGTGCCTGGGTGTGCCCAGAACACCCTAAAAGCAGCTCACAGCCACTCAGACTCCAACAGTTCCCCAGGTCAAAGCCAGCCATGGACACAGGAGAATTCTCTTCCCACACCTGCAGCAGCCACAGACACACCCAACCTGCTCAGACCCAGCCCTGCAGCTCAATTTTTGGAGCCTCCAGGTACCAGTATCAGCTCCCCACACCCTGGCACAGCCCCTGTGCTGCAGGAAATCCCCAGGGCCAGGCAGGAACACCCTGACCCCACACAGAGCACCTCCCATGGCTCCCAGCCACGCACAGAGCACCCACAAACCAAAGCACAGCACCCAGCTCAGCCTTACCTTGAAAGCTGCTGTGCTCAGGAGAGCCAGACCTCACACCCCAGCAGGCTCCTCACCTCCAGCCAGCAGCTCTGAGCAGCTCCAGATGCTTTATCACCTCCTCCTCCTCTGCCAGGTGCCTCTGCCTTCCTGAGCAGGGTCCCACAGCAGCAGAGCCCGCTGTCATACCAGTCCCTCTCCCTCCCCAGTCCTTTGGATTTTGAATCTGAGAGGGAGGCAAAGTGACAGCAAAGAGATGCTTCATATGCAAAAAAAAAAAAAAAGGGATGTGCAGTGTGTTGAAGAGTTTTTTGTGGTCTGTACCCAGCAGAACACAGCCCTACACAATCTCCAAGGCAGGGGTGACCCACATGCTCACTCCTGCAGGGCAGTGATGCTGGGCTTCAACAAACACATGGGTGAGCAATAAATGCATTGGCACAGCTGCCCACCCCCAAAACTTCAACATGTGGTGTGTCACCTTGACACTGTCCTAGAGCAGCTCAGAACCTGTGGGTGTGGAGGTAAAAGAGATCTTCTGTCCCTGCAAAACACACCAGCCTGGCTGTGCACTGGCACTTGTGGGCAGAATGGGATGGCTGGATGTTCTCTCCCCTGCTCAGGCCTGGAGGCAGTGGACTTTGTCACCTGGATGGGATGAACCCCCCTTCCCACCCCATTCCCTCTGGGCAGGAGCACAGATCTCTGCTCTCTCTGCTACTGCTCAGTTCTGTCCCAGCTTGGAGCTGAAGAAATTGGGTTTCCCTCCTCTAGCTATGCTCAGAGGCACTGGGGGGATGGTCCCAGCCTTTTCTGAATCAGGAGGCAGGGGTGTGCTTGGAGGGATTCAGCCATTCAGTTCCTCCAAAGCAGCAGGGATGAGCACAGCTTTCTACTGTAGGCTTGCAAATCAGCCAAGCTTAACCCAAGTTTCTCAGAGACCATCTCAGGGAAGGAGCTTTCTATGAAAATCGCCCCATGCCAAATTGAAAAGCCCTTTCCCAAAGGGCCTTTCAAAGGAAAGAGCTCAGCCGTTCTTACAGCTGAGGCAAAGCCGCATCTTTCTGCCTTAAATCCTCTCAGAAACAGCATCCTCCAGAGCCAGGCACCCCCCAGCTGAGCCCAGCACTTAAGGCTTGACCCAAGCAGCCAAACCCACGCCGTGCCCAGGCTTTGTTTCCCCTCTGGTGACCGCTGTTGTTGTTCCAGGAGAACCCGTACCTGTGCAGCGACGAGTGCGACGCCTCCAACCCCGACCTGGCGCACCCGCCCAAGCTGATGTTCGACAGCGAGGACGAGGGGCTGGCCACGTACTGGCAGAGCGTGACGTGGCGCCGCTACCCCGAGCCGCTGCTGGCCAACATCACCCTGTCCTGGAACAAGAGCATCGAGCTGACCGATGACATCGTCATCACCTTCGAGTACGGGCGCCCCACCATCATGATGCTGGAGAAGTCTCTGGACAACGGCAGGACTTGGCACCCGTACCAGTATTACGCAGACGACTGCATGGAGGCCTTCAGCATGCCAGCACGGAGGGTCCGGGACCTCTCCACCACCAGTGCCAACAGGGTCCTCTGCACCGAGGAGTATTCCCGCTGGGCGGGCTCCAAAAAGGAGAAGACCGTGCGGTTTGAGGTGCGGGACCGCTTCGCCATCTTCGCCGGCCCCGACCTCAAGAACATGGACAACTTGTACACCCGCCTGGAGAGCGCCAAAGGGCTCAAGGACTTCTTCACCGTCACCGACCTGCGCATGAGGCTGCTGAGACCCGCCCTGGGGGGCACCTACGTGCAGAGGGAGAACTTGTACAAGTACTTCTACGCCGTCTCCAACATCGAAGTCACCGGCAGGTAACGGCTGCTGGGTTTCTTGGGGCGTCTCTTCTCTTTTCCTGCTGGAAAACTGAGCCATCAGCGTTTCTGCCGACCGAGAGATAACCATTTCTCCCTCTAACACCCCTTCTCCCCAGGCAGGGCAGCAGCTGTGACCTTGCAGGGAACAGCTGGGGCACCTCCAAGGCTGTGTCCTCCCGCAGCTGGTGCTGGGGGAGCTGGGACATGGCTTGGATGGGCACTCAGGGTCTGAATTCCCTCCAATCCCCTGTCCCAGCTGTGCAAACACAGCCAGCCTTTGCCCAAATGTCTCAGGGGTGATGCTGGTGGATATGGGGCGTGGAATGAGGCTCGCCCCACTAAACTCCAGCTCCCTGCCAGCACAAGCAGGGTAGGTCATCCCCAGTCAGTCCTGCACACCCTGAGCAGCCCCAGCCCTGGCAGATTAATCTTGGGGTAAAGGTAAAACCCCCTGACACATCTGGGGCAGAGGAAGCAGGAGGGGGTTTGTTTCTCCTGGGTTTTGTTTTTCAGCTCTCTATACAATGCCATATGTTACATTATGACATCAACTGAAAAAGCAAAGTAAGGTGGAAAAGTGCCGAGATGGCTGATTTCCCATCCAGCTTGTGCGAGACTTACAGGCGAGAGGGAAAAAATCTCCCCATCACCCACCCCATGCTAACAAGCATCACCACAGCGACAGAGGAGCCGTTTGTATCAGTTCCAAACAGTTTGCTTCTGAGACTTGCAAGTAGAAATGTTTGCAGGTGCCACCGAGGCTGGCTTTGAACAGGCTCCAAGGGGAAGGAAGCTGCAGGGAGGGATGGGAGAGCCCTTCCCACCCGCCAGGGCAGGCAGGAGACAGCAGGGAGGGTCTTTCTCATGGTGTGGTGCCTGTCTGGGATGAGCAGCTGTAGCACTCAAATGGTTTGGGGGCATTTTGGGGTGCCCACCATGGGGATTGCTCAGGAAGGAGTCCTGGGGGCTCAGGCATGTGGGCAGAGAAGTAGGAGAGCACCTCCACGTGTGTCTGGTAAATTAGGACTAAATGTTTGATGTCAGTGCTTGTGCAATGAGCTTTGGCTTCTAGGATCAGCACAGATACCAAGGACTTGTTACTGCTCCCACAGCAGCCTGGGGATGCTTGATGCTTCAAAGAGTTAAAATACTCTTGGTGTCCCGTGAACACCTTCCTCCTCTGAGCCTTTTACCACTCCTGCCTGCCTTGGGCAGGATTTGTTGCTTCAGTACTTTGGACCTGAGGTCCTGCCGGTGGGATTCTCCCCAAACCAGCACTTTGCTCTCAGCTGTCCTCTGCCCCCCTCCCCAGCCTCCCATCATCTTTTGAATTCACTGGCCAAATTTACTACCATTTAATACTAACAGAGGTTGGTTCAAGACAGAAAATCCCTAAAAATTCAGTGAAAAGAGTCAGCTAGGGAAGGGGAAGAAAACCCCTTTCAAACACACCCAGGGCTGGAGGAGTCGCAACCTCTGCGAGACATCCAAAATTCCACCGGAGGCGGGGATGGCCGGGCTGCGAGCGCCCCGTGGAAGCTGCAATGCTGCTTTTTAGCCGGGGCCGAGAGGAGCCAGGCTGGGGCTCGCTGCCGGTCCTGCAGGAGAGGGCTTTTCCTTGGCTGGGAACGGGGAAAACTCCGAAATCTGCTTTTATCAGCCCGAGTTCTGAGCTGCAGAAGATGCAGCTCTGCGCTGCTCCAGCTTGCTGGGCTGATTCAAGGAGAGAGGGACACTCATCCCGGACGGGGAAGAAGTCAGTGCCTGTCCTGTGCTGATTTTTTCAGCCCCCATGGGTACAGGGCAGGGAAGGTGAGCAGCTGAGGAGCTGTGGATAAGTGGTGTATAAGATGGAGAAGCTCCCTGTGAATTAACTCTGCTCCTGCGATTATTCCAGTCCCAGCAAGCAGGTTTTTGCACTGAAAAGCAATCTAATTCCAGCTGTAAGCAAAGCCAGTTACAGTGCAGGGACTAAAACCAAATTAAATCTAGTGTATGGCTCAACAAGGGATGGGTTATTGAGAGGAAGAGAGGAGAAATCAATGTGAGCCTGACAGGAGCACTGTGCAGGGAAGGGGGGAGGAAGGGTGGGCAGGGATGGGGATGGACACACACTGCCTCTTCCAGGACGTGTTGGAGGAACAGCAGGAAAGTGCCTAGATAAAACTGGCGTGGTGTTAGGGATCCACTACAGGGGGCAGGGAAACAAGAGGGGCGGTGATTGTGAAGAAATGAGGGGTCAAGGGCAAAACAGGCAGAAAATGCCACCTGGAGAGCAGAGTGAGCAGCGCCGAGGCTGAAGGAGCTGTGCCTGGCCATAGCGTGTGGCACTGCCTGTGTCCCTGTACCACAGCGGGATTTTGGCGGTGCCCTCAGGGTGATGAGACACTTGGCAGCTCGTTTCCAGCTGGAGTTCATGGCCAAGGGAAGAGCAAAGCACTTTGCCCTCAGAGCAGACCGTGAGCCCAGGTGGTTTCTCGTGCTGCAGCCTTACCTGGTGGGTTCAGAGAGCTTTCTGTGATCCCCTCAGTCCACGTACTCCTGGACCCCATCCTTCATGCCTCAGCTTCACACCAAGGAAAACCCCTCACCACAATCTCCCAGAGCTTTTTGGGAAAAGCAAAAAGAGAATAAAGGATATGGGGAGAAGGGGAAAGAGTTTTCTGCCTCCTCTTGTCCTGGAGGCCAGAGGATCTGGTGAATCCTGGGGGTCACTGCTTCATTCCTGGGAGTTGGGACAGTGGGCTGCTCCCTCAGGGTCTCCTCTGCATCTCCTCCTCCCACAGCCTCAGCCAGGTCCATCTCTCCGTTCATGGCTGACAGTTTATTTTTACTCCCTTTCTTCTTGGTATCTTTTTCTTATTTTTTCCCCCCTCCTTTCTTCTTCCATCCTGTCCCTATTGATCTGCAGAGTAACTGGAGCTGCAGAAGGGTCAGGACAGGAATAGACACAAGCAAGCCCTTGGTCTGTGTGTTGTGTGTGTGCCAGGCAGGGTGGGGAAGGGAAGTGGAAGGACTTTTCCCCACAGATCTCTCTATTCACTGCTTAATTTTCTCCTCGGTGCAGCAGTGAGCTCGGGCATGGGTGAATGAGCTTTCCCTGGCTGGCAGGGCTGTGGTGAGAGCCACTGGTTCTGCTCCCACTGCACACTGGGTCTCTCTGGAGTCATTTCCTCCCCCTCAGAACATCAGTCACTGCCGTGCTCAGCAGGGCACGCTCCATCACGGAGACATTAATAAGCTGTAATTGAAGTTAATGTGCCATGGCCAGGACATGTGGATCCAGTTAGGAGAAATCAGATTGAGCAGAAGTGAATCAATTTTAGGCTGTTTATTAGGATTTTTCCCCTCTGTCCTGCCCTGTCCCAGTGCATGCATTGTCTGTCTGTCTGTCTGTCCATCCTGCTGGTGATGAGCAGTCCCTGGAGGAAGGCAGGAGGAGGGAGCATCCCTCATCACTGAGCAGCTCCATGGAACAGAGCTCCACACCCTCAGGCTGTGCTCAGGCCAAAGAGGTGCCAACAAGATGAAGTTTCTGGTTTTGAAGTGGCATTTCCTTTCCTCACTTCACCAATTGCTCTCCTCAGGCTTTCCTTACACCAAAAAATTGAAGGCAAAAACCCTTGCACTCCCCTGCTTCTTTCCCTGGTGCATTCTCAGTGCAGTCTCATGCATAGATGCTCTCCAGGAGGATTTTCTCTCCACATGACTTGGAGAGTTTGTGCTAGTGGAGCAGAACACTTTGGCCAGCCTGTTACCCTGGTGCCAGCAGCAGGATCAGGCACTCCAGACCTGGAGGACCAAGGCCACCCCCAAAAGCACCTCCTGCAACAAAAAGAGCTGGAAATGGTCAGTGGTACCCACATGCAGGGGGTGTATTTTTCTGCATTTGTGGTGAGTTTTGAGATGTGGAGATGATTGATGCTGCATTGCTGCTAAAGATGAATGAATTCCTGGTCACTGGCTCCTTCTCTCGATGAAGGCAGCTCAGGGCACTTCTCCTGTGGCTGTAGCTCAGCTGGAACCAGGGGTGCCAGCACAAAGCACATCCCACTGCCCCTGAGCTGCTTTGCCCTGGTTGCACATTCCTTCTTCTGGCTTTGTTGTGGGAGACCTTCCAGCTGATCTCGACTTCTCCACCAAAGCTGACTTTAAATTGGAGAAAAGCTTTGGTCTGTGGAAGAGTCTTGTGTTGAGTGTCTCAGATTTTGTGTGGTGGCTGGTGAACATCTCTCCCTGAGGAGCAGGGTGGAACCTGCACCAAAGGGGAACAGGCAGGACCTGGGGTGACCTGTGAGAGCAGGGGCTCCCCCAGCTGAGCTTGCTCAGTCCCAAATTTTGGGCATCACTCCCAAAATAGCCACGGGCTCACCCAAACATCCCCAAGAACAAGCCCAACGCCCCTGCTGCCCTCAGCCAGCTGCTGCCCACAGCTGGCAGCTTTGGGATGCCCACACAAACCAGGGCAAGCACCGCCTGTGCCCATCCCTGCTCCTTCCCCTGCAGCTCCTGGCAGACAGAGCTGGGGTCCCAGGAGGCAGCAGCATCAAGGACAGCCAAGTCTGTGCCAGCAGAGCGCCGCGTTCCTCGGCCCGTCCTCGCCTCCGTGCTGGGCAGCCCCAGAGCTGGATGGCTGAGCTCCCCTGGCATTCCTCCAGGCTGGAATTAGCTGGAGCTCGAGCAAAACCTTGCTCTTGGTCATAGAGTTAAATTAAGTTAATGTGCAGCAACTGTTTGCTGGAGTCCTGCAAAGGTTTCTGCTCCCACTGCAGCAAGGTGGGGAGGAAACTCTGGGTAGGAGGGAGGGAGAATCCCGGAGAGCTCCTCCCTCCCCCAGACGCTGCTGACACTTTGTCGATAGCCAGAGACAGATGCCCAAGGTCCTATTACCTGCTCCTGGCTTTGCTTTGTGAAGGGTTTTATTCCCCCTCCGATTTTGTTGCCGAGCTGCGTCCGGCCCTGAGCGGATAATAGAATTTCATCAATAGACTGGGAAG